GATCTGAAAAGACACATGCAAATGGCCAGTAAACACACTAAAAGATGCTCAGTATCGTTTGTCATCAGGAAAGTGCAAATGAAATCAATAATGAGATAGCCATTACAACTACTCGGATGGCTATAATAAAAGATAGGTAATATCAAATTTTAGTGAGGATATGGAAAAATTAGAAGTCTTGTATACTACTGATGGAAATGTAAAATGATGTAGCCACTCTGTAAAACGTTTTGGCAGTTCCTCAGAAAGTTAAATATAGAATTATATTTGACCCACCAATTCTGCTCCTAGGTATATACTTAGAAGAACAAACTAAACAAAATGTGTAGACAGATATTCTTCACAACATCTTTCTAATAGCCAACAAGTAGAGACAACCCAAATGTTCCATCAACTGATGAATGGATGAACAAAATGTGGTATATGTATACATGGAATGTTATTTGTCCATAAAAGAAATGAAATACTGGTACATGCCACAATATGAATGAACCTTGAAAGCATTAAGAGAGATATATATATATATATTTGTGTGTGTGTATATATATATACAAGTGTATATGTATATATACATATGTGCTGCATATATGTATGTATATACTAATACATATGCTACACACATATGCTACATGTATATGATACATACACACACACACACACACACACACACACATATTTTTTGAGACGGAGTCTCACTCTGTCGCCCAGGCAGGAGTGCAGTGGTGCCATCTTGGCTCACTGCAACCTTCACCTCGCAGGTTCAAGCGATTCTCTTGCCTTAACCTCCCTAGTAGCTGGGACTACAGTCACTCGCCACCATGCCTGGCTCTTTTTATATTTTTAGTAGAGATGAGGTTTCACTGTGTTGGCCAGATTTTTTTTTAAGAGCTGAGTTTCGCTGTGTTGCATGTGTTGGAATGCAGTGGTGCTATCACAGTTCACTGTAGCCTCAAACTCCTGGGCTCAGGTACCTTCCTGCTTCAGCGTCTCAAGACTCTGGAACTACAGCACATGCCACCATGCCTGGCCTTTTCTTTTTTTAAGTTTGTTTTTAGACTTGGGGTCTTGCCAAATTACCCAGGGTGGTCTTGAACTCCTGGCCTTAAGTGATCCTCCCTGCTCAGCCTCCCGAGTGTCTGGGATTACAGGTGCATGCCGCCATGCCTGGTTCTCATTATGATATATCAAAGAAGTACAGTTTCCATATTTGTAATATGGAGTCATATAATATTCTATATTACAAAATGGAATATTGTATGATTCCATTTATGTGAATTGTCCAGAATAAGCAAATCTGTGGAAACAGAACTTAAATTAGTGTTTGCCTAGGGCTACAGGGTCAGGTATGGAGCTAAGAGACAGGGAGAGCGATAGAGAGTATGGGTGGCTTTTTGTATGATCAAAATGTTCTAAAATTGATTGTGGTAATGTTTATGTAGCTTCATGCATTATACTAAAAGCATTTAATTGTATACTTTAAATCAATGAATTGTTTAGTAGGTGAATTGTATTTCAATAAAACTGTTACAAACATACAAAAAAGAATATTCTAAAGTGCTTTTATTCATAATAGCTTCCAAGTGTTCATCAGTGGAAGAATGGATGACCAAATTGTGATATACTCCTACCATGTAACATTACTCAGCCATGAAAAGAAACAAACCACTGATAGAATGAATGAGTCACAAAAAATCCTGAGCAAAAAGCTACATATGAAAGAATATATGCTGTGTTATTTCTTTGGTTTAAGAACAGACAAAATGGCTGGGCCCAGTGGCTCATGCCTGTAATCCCAGCACTTTGGGAGGCCGAGGTGGGTGGATCACCTGAGGTCAGGAGTTCAAGACCAGCCTGACCAACATGGAGATACCCTGTCCTACTAAAAATACAAAAAATCAGCCAGGCTTGGTGGCACATGCCTGTAATCCCAGCTACTTGGGAGGCTGAGGCAGGAGAATCACTTGAACCCAGGAGGTGGAGATTGTGGTGAGCCGAGATCGCACCGTTGCACTCCAGCCTGGGCAACAAGAGCGAAACTCCGTCTCAAAAAAAAAAAAAAAAAAGTAATAAATTGTGATAAATCAGAACTTGATTACTTCTGGTGGGATCAGGGGCAAGGGTAGTACTGATAGGAACGGAGATAAAATAACTTGGGGATTGTGATAGAAATGTTCTCTATCTTGATTCAGGATTTTGTGGACGTAAACGTTTATTTAAATTCATCAAACTGAGTACTTAAGAAAAGTGTATTTTATGTTTGTGAAATAGAGCTTTAAAAAAAATGGCCTTAAGGCTTTGAGTTGACATTACAGAAACTTTTATAGGGCCAAAGATAATGTAAGGTCTGAATGATACTTTGGAGCTGGGATTGAGCCTCTGTTACATAGTCCGAGTCCTTCAAACCTTCAAAGTTATGGAACTTTTCTGTCACTAAAAAAATTGTTGAAAAATGCTGGTCCTGCGTAAGAAAAAACGAGGAACCTTAGCAATCTGTGTTAGGCCTTAGATAAGGTTATAAAGAAGTTAGCTTTAAAAAAAATCAGTGCCCTACATCTGCACCATACGTGAGTATGGGTTCTGAATTTATACTTTGTGTTTGGTGCATAATGTCAAACTAAGAAATTATCATCAAAACCAGTCCAGCAACTAGCATAAGCAAATACTAAATAAATCTCTTTTAAGAGTTGTTGAGTAAGCTGGGAGCGGTGGCTCATCCCAGCACTTTGGGAGGTTGAGGCAGGCAGGTCACGAGGCCAGGAGATTGAGACCATCCTGGTCTAACATGATAAAACCCCGTCTCCACTAAAAATACAAAAATTAGCTGGGCATGATGGCACACCCCTGTAGTCCCAGCTACTCCGGAAGCTGGGTCAGGAGAATCGCTTGAACCTGGGACATGGAGGTTGCAGTGAGCCGAGAGTATACCACTGCATTCCAGCTTGGTGACAGAGTGAGACTCCGTCTCAAAAAAAAAAAAAAAAAAGTTGATGAGACTCCTTAGAAAATAATCCCCACTGAAAATATAAACCATCCTAGGAAACCAAACTACCTTGGCAGGGGTTTGGTACATAAAACAAGGAATATCACTTTAAGATTTAGAAATTATATCATAAAACAAACAAGGAATATCACTTTAAGATTTAGAAATTATATCACAGTCTAGAAAACAGTGTTCAAAATTATAAAAAAGTATAGAAAGCAGAATGAAAGAACAGGAGAGAGGTTAAAGAAACTAATCTAGGCGTGGTGGTGAGACAAAGCAGTCACAGATACAAAAATACCCATATTTAAATGGCACTGCCACCATTTATTAGATGAAATAGAAAATAGAGTTTGGTGGTTGTAGTAATGTTGACTGATTTTTTTAAAACTCTACATAATATTTTAGTGTATTTTAATATCTCGAGCTCTTATACAGAATACTTTAACACATAATATTCTTGAATTATTTTTGACTAGCAGATTATCAGATTAGCTGTTGAAAGGCGTGATTGTTTAGTGATAACTTCTTCAATTTACAATTTGAATGGAGTCTGACTAGAACTCACTGAGTGTTTTTTCTTCAACTGGTCCCCTTCAGCTGACTGCCAAACCAAGTGCAGTGGAGTCTGAGGCCTAAGCTTTCTTTCTCCAAGCAATCCATCAAGGGGGATTACTGGTAATAATGAGAATAGAGTATTTTTATCGAGGTATCTTTTGAGTAAGAAATGAAGTTAAGCTCGGTTATACTTCTCTTTTTAAAACATTCAACCTTTGTACCTATTGACTTTTTGTATTGTACAAATAATACAGTATTTTACTAGTTTAGTTACTTTTTATTATGAAAAATATTTCAAATTCACTTTATTTTTTAAAAGCCTGTTTCTGTGTATAGTATTATATGATTTATGGTATTAGATTCCCTCTGCATTGCTATATATGGCTGCCTATTCTCTACATATATAAATTCAATTTAGAGAATTAGAACGAGACTAAAATATGCCCTACAAACCTCTTTGAATCAGTATGAGACTGTTTAACTTTTAAACTTATTCTACTATGAGATTTTTCCAAAGATTGTTCTCTTGTATCTCATTCCTAATTATACAGTAAAATGCAGTAATAGAACTTCAGTTCATTTTAATGTGTTACTTAATTTGCCTCTATGTTATTATGCACTTTGTCTTCTAAAAGCAAACTTACTTAAATTTGAACATTATACCCTAACTCCAGAGGTGATCTCTGAATAAATAATACACAACCACCACTCTAAAGCCTGGAAACTCTTTATTGCTAATATTTATGGCACTCATCTCCCATTCACTTTATTGCTTAAGTACTCACTTTAAATAACACTGATCTGGGGCTTTGGTCTTTACTTGAATGTGCTCTCTTCTTTTTTTCACTGGTAGCTGATTTTTATCCTACTTTCCTAAGAATTGATAACGAGGTACAGATTCTTCAGCTTTGTTTTCAAATTTGTAATTACAGAAGTGCTGCTGGGCTTTCCTGCTCTATGGTGCTTTACTTCATATTTTCATTATTGACACACTTGTTGGAATTCCTACAAGTGTGGTTAATTGCAGGATTTGTGAAAGAATTGTTTAACTTTCAGTAAATTATTTTGGGTATATTTCTCTTTGGGGTTCCATCAGTGTTGCCAACTATATGTTAATTATGTTTGAGACCTGATAAAAATGAGTCTATTTTTAAAAAATAAATCTTACAAATTGCTTTTGAATTTTTGCTTGTATTGAGAAATTTTTAATATGGTGTTAACTAACAATTTTTTGAGTACTGAAAAAGACACTTTGAATATCTGAAAAGGCCTTTATTTTTTCCTATTATTTTTAAGCATTTTCCTCAAAATAATTGGACATTCACATATAACCTCTATTATTTGATACATTTTTATACACCCTTAAATAGTTGGCAGCATTGTCCTTGATTCTCTGTTGGTTTGGGCTTATATAATGTCTTTTTCTTTTCTCCATTTTTTTTTTTTTTTTTTGCTTCCTAAGGACATGATGATACAGCGCCATGTGCAATTTTGAAAAGTATGGATAGTTTTAGCTTTCTCCAACACCCAGTCCACCAGAGGAGCTTAGAGATTCTGCAGAGATGCAAGGAAGAGAAGTACAGTAAGGCTACAAATCCTGATAAGCTGTTATCACATATCCATTTGGAAATGGAAACCAGGAGCATCCTACACCAGGGTGGGATATAGATTCCACGGGCAACATGGCCTCCATAAACCTCTGAGCAGTCTTTGAATATTTCTTTTGAGTCTTTAGTAGTTTCTTTTGAAAATACTGATAAACTTTTTTTAACTGTGGTGACTTTTCTGTTTGCCTGTGATCATTGGATTGTTAATTATACTTGGTTACAGTCACTGGATTGGTTTCTATTTGTCTTTCAAGTAGCCAAGTGATGGATAGGAATCAACAATGTTTTCTTTCCTGCTCATAAAAAAAAAAAAAAAATTGAAGTCTAATTGAAGTAAAAAACTGAATGCAAAGAGAACAGTTTGGTAAGTTTTGACGTATGTAGGCACCCATGAAATTATCTCCAGAATCAAGATAATGAATATGTTCAGCATTCCCAAAAAGTTTTCTCATACCCCTTTCTAAATCTGGCTGATTTTTGTGTTTGCTTATGCTTGAATTTCAACATTAGCAAATGTTATTTTTGTGTATCATTGGTAAATCCACTTAGTTTGATTGCAGTGCTTCAACCAGCCTTTCCTACGTCTGGTTTAGAGCAAAGCCACCGCATTAATGTTTTGACTTGAGGAAGAATAACAGAATCATGGTGCATGTTCTTTTGTTTGCTTTTTTATAAAATTGGTGTAAAAAGATGCCCTTGGTCTCCATTTCCTTTCTTGCTCTTTACTTGTTGTACTCATTCTGCATGAAAATTGATTCTTTTGCCAGTTGTAAGATTAGTTACTATTATTGAGGCACTGCTATTGTGAGAATAAGTGGATCCTTCAAAATACTCAAAGACAACTCAGCAATTTGCGTATAATGGACCTACATAATCTGTTCTGAGCTTTTAATAAATTACCACTGATTTAGTTTGCTAATTTCACAGTTTTCTGGTTGAAATTCCATGAAATTTTACTATCCAGTTGTCAGTGAGAGGAGAATATAAGTAGAATTCCTAAGAGCAAATGTTGTGGATTCTTTTTCAGTTCCTGTTACTGTCTTGGTTAAAAAAAAAGGGTGTGTAATGTATTGTGAAAAACAGTATTTAAAGTATTTTCTCATTTTAAGAAGAACAAAGGTAAGTGTTTCATTTTAAAAAGACATCCTTAATATTATTCTTAATTGTTGCTGGTGTTTCTGAGAGGAATGTAACAAATCCTCATTCCAGTTATTCATCTTCCTATTCTGTCTTTTAATCCACGGGACATTATTTAAAATAGTCTATAAATCATTTTGGGGAGCTTAAATTAATTTCTCTTAATTCTTTAAATAGTTGCAAATGGTTTATTTGCTTTGTTTTTTCATGACTCAGCCTAACAACCCCAGACCTGATTGTATGCCAGCTACATACGGATCTTGACTAGGAAGGCACCAGTTTCAGCATAGGCTACATGAAGAAATTGTGCATCTATGTGTGTTTACTTGGAAATTTCTACTTTTGTGAACGTTGGAGCTCTTCCATTATTTTATGTAATTTATTCCATTTTCCACTATAGTATTAGCAATATACTAATTATAAAAAGGTTTCACATTATAAATTTTATTATATGTAAAATTGTAAATTCAAGTTTTGGAAATTGTTCTTAAGAAAACGGGACTACCAGCTTTAGGTAGTGGTGAATTGGTGAGGTGAATGAATCCTCCCACAAGTAACAGCGATAAAACCTGGAAAAAAAATTTTAAAATAACCGAGTATTTGAAAGTACGCGAAAAAGACCAAAAGTAGGCAGAAAGTAGGGAAAAGTTTATTTTTTAAAGGTAGTAAAGCAGTGGGTAAGAATTGTGAATTTGTAGCTTTTTATACCAGGGGTTTTCCTAACTTGCATGGTTTCAGAGATAGAAAACAACCACCACCACCATACTGGCTTATTATGTTGGAAGACTTTCAGAGCAGCTTGGAGTTTAGGAGGAAAATCCTGGAACTGAGAGAGCTGCTAAAGGGCTAAAACACAAATTAAAGTATGAACTCTGCACAAATCCCTGGCTGACTGCTGTGAGTATGCAGGGAAGACCCCAGGAACCGTATTAAAAAAAAAAAAGTGGAAACCAAATAAAAGATAATCCTTGAAAGACATAACTAGAATAGCTGAGATTTGCAACTTTGCTGCTTTTTAGAAAAACTGAGGAAATTTTCTGCCTGTGCTTAGCTTGTGTGGGAAAAACAAGTCTTTCTGCCTTAATTGGAGTCCCATAGGAAATGAGAGATAAAGGAGTCGGAAAATTATTTGAAGACAGTGGCAGAAAACATCCCTTATTTGGTTAAAAAAAAAAACCCAACATAGTGAAACCCTGTCTCTACTGAAAATACAGAATTTAGCCAGGCGTGGTAGTGCACGCCTGTAATTCCAGCCTCCTCGTGTGGCTGAGGCACAAGAATTGCTCGAACCTGGGAGGCAGAGGTTGCAGTGAGCTGAGATCACACCCCTGCACTCCAGCCTAGGCAACAGAGCGAGACTCTGTCTCAAAACAAACAAATACTAGCTTACAGATCCAGGAAGATCAGTGACCACAAAGCCGGTAAATATGAAGGAAAACTACACCTAGGCACATTATAGATTAAAATGTTAAAGGTAAAGAGAAAATCTTGAAAGCAGCCTGGAAAATATGTACATATTAAATACAGGGGAATAATGAGATGATTAACACCTGACTTCTCAGTAAAAATAATGGAGGCCAAAAGGTGTCAAAAAATCATGTTTAATGTGTCATGTCCCCCACCTCCCCCAAAAAAATCTGAGCCAGAATTTCTGTATTTGCAGTTTGGGTCCAGACAAGTTAACTGATAGAAGAAAAATTAACAATCTTCAGAAGAACCTAACAGTATCCACTGTTGCTGTGATGTGTTATCCACAATGTCCCGTTACCATGTAGCAAAAGTATCCTTCAAAAATGAAGGTGAAATACATTTTCAGACTAATGGAGTCTGAGAATTTGTCACCATATGCATTCTATGGGAAATGATAATAGAAATTCTTCATGCTCAAGGGAAATCATCCCAGGATCGTAACTTGGGTCTATAGTAGGGGTTGGCAAAATTTTTCTGCGAAGAGCAGACAGTGAATATTTTAGGCTTTGTAGGCCAGTATGGTTTCTGTTGCAGCTACTCAACTCTTCTGTGAAGGGAGCCATAGACAATACATAAATAAATGAGTATAGCTATCTTCCAATAAAGCCTTATTACGGACATTGATACTTAAATTTCAAACAATTTTCACATGGTACAAAAATGTTCTTTTTCTCCTCAGTTAAAAACTATATAAGCCATTCATAGGTCATACAAAAACAGGCAGTGGGTTTGGTTTAGGCCATGGACTCTAGTTTGCTGATACATGCATGAATTACTGGCAGGAATAAAGAAGGCACAACTAATAAATATGTATAAAAATATAAATGACTACACATATTTTCTTGCCTTCTCTTAATTAAAAAAAGACTGTTTAAAGTAAAAAATCTGACATTATTTTGACGGTTTAAAATATGTCTACAAATTGATACTCCCCCCTTCATAAGGCATGTGCTGTACTTAGTGACTTGCATCCAAGAAATGGAATGTGGCAAAAGGGACAGTGTGTGACCTTCAATATTAAGACATAAAGATAATGTGGCCTTTCCTCCTTCTCTTTGTTTCTGGTGCTCCCGCCTTCTCTCCAAAGTGGCTCTTCTCTGAAATTTCTCAGGGAGGAAATTAGAGGAGTAAGGAGAAATTGAAGTTTTGGGGAGCATGAGCTACACCCCACTTCCAGAAATGACAGGAGCCCTAGAAAGAAGGAATCAGATGGCAGAAGGAGAACGGGTAGAAAAGAAGAATCTGACTTTAATTTGCACCCATTCTTTTGGCCTTCAGTCCCGTTTGGGATGATTGAGAATATAATGTGCATCAGCAAGAAGAAGGATCAGCAATTGCCAGGGAAGGGCTGAGGGCTTACTCCACCTCATTACTCTCACCTTGCTGACAGTGCCTATTTTAATGTCCCTAACCTCAGGTATCAGTATGGTCATTCAGATGATTAAAAATTTAGTGGATTGTCTGATCAAAATGGAATTAAATGCAAATCAATAACAGATATATCTGAGAAACCTTCAAATATTTGAAAAATAAAATGTATATGTAACTATTGAGTTGAAAAAATTTCATAAGGGTAACTTGGAAGTTTTTTGATCTGAAAGATGATGGAAACAACATATTACAACTTATGGACTACAAATGAAGAAGTACTTAGGAGAAAACTTACAGCTTTAAATTCTTAAATTAGAAAAGTAAGGTAAAATAATCAGTGGTTTAGGCTTTCACTTTAAGCTAGGAAGAAAAGAGCATATTAGACTCCAAATAAATAGAAGGAAGTAAAAAAACTTTTTTTTTTTTTTTCTGAGACAGAGTCTGGCTCGGTTGCTCAGGCTGGAGTGCAGTGGCACCACCTTGACTCACTACAACCTCTGCGTCCCAGGTTCAAGTGATTCTCATGCCTCAGCCTCCCAAGCACCTTGGGCTACAGGTGCATGCCACTGTTTTGCTTTGTTTTGTTTCGTATTTTAGAGATAGGAGCTCGTTTTGTCATGCAGGCTGGAGTGCAATGGCACAATCATGGCTTGTTGCAGTCTTGACCTCCTCGGCTCAAGTGATCTTCCCACCCCAGTCTCTCAAGTAGCTGGGTCTACAGGTGCATGCCACCATGCCCTGCTAATTTTTAAATTTTTATTTGTGGAAATGGAGTCTCACTGTGTTGTCCAGGTTGGTCTCAAACTCCTGGCTTCAAGCAATCCTCCTGCCTTGGCCTCCCAAAGTACTAGGATTACAGATGTGAGCCACTACATCTGGCCTAAAGCTGGTTTTTTGAAAAGAACAATGAAGCTGATAAATTTCTAGCCCAGCATGGTGCAGTAGAACTTTCTGCGATGTGGAAATGTTCTCCAGCTACACTGTCAGTACTGTAGCT